TGTATACAGCTTTGCTTCTTGACAATACACGCCGGACCCCAACCAAGCCCCTTTACCCCCCAAGCCTGAACTATCTAGGCCCGGATGTCTACGCCTGAACTTGTCCCCAAACTCAGTTGCTGTTCAAAGAGCTATATTAAGGTGGCTACATGGTATAACTACATATGGTTTCCTTGAATTTGCAACGCAGGGGGCAACCCAGTAAATCCTCCGCGCCAATACATCGGAAAGAATGGGGGTTTCCAACCGTTGGAGGTCCTGCTGCTTGGGGCGTGCCTATACTGAAGGTTATCGCATAGTTGAGGTCCTTGTCGGGGTCCTCATGGCTAGGGAAACTACCGCAAAACACAAGTTTCCATTAGACTTTCAATTTGATTCTCAACTATTCTAGTAGTAGCCCCTCTATGACTCTATAGACCCTGAGAATAGAATCTCCACCAGGGCCACGGCGGACCAGTCGCCTTCGCCAGAGGCATTGAAGGCCATGACCTTCAATTCGTAATGTAGGAGCCTAAATACATGTACGGGGATTATAGAGGTATTATCCCCAACAACGGACAATCAACGAGATCAAGTAGTAGGGCCCCTAGAAATTTATCAATATCGTTTGATCGTGTGGCCCTGCTGAGAAGAGAAGACCTATGACCCTCTGGCTTGCAACATGCACTCAAGGACTTCAGCCGCGCAAGCTTGCAGTCTGCTAGGCAGCTTCCACTTTGCCATGTCAACTTTAGCCGCTATAGTTAGTAGAAGTCTGAGCAGTCCATAGGTGCGATATGTTACGTGAGCAGCAGGTGTTCGATCGCATTCTGCTACAACATGGATAGATGCGTTGCTCAAGTCAAGTGGGCATTTCTGAAGGAAGAGATCAACCCGAGTTCAACTTATGCACCCCCAACAATAGTATCCTCCTCCTTAAGGAACAGTAGCCAGGGGCCAGAATCTTCAAAAGCACAGGACCTAGCGGCTAAACTGAACCGTGTAGACCCTGACTCCCAAAACCCTATGAACAATACACCCTCAACCCCACATACTCAACCCTGTTCACCCGGGCCCCTCCGGCGAGCCTGAAAGACATAGGTGTTCCCAGGGATCAGCCACTTCAGGACGGCCTGGGGGGGGGGGGTGGGGCTTGGAGATGGTAGGGAGATTGCGTGGGAGTTGGTAATAATATACTGAAACTTTCCTAAATCCATCAGGGATGCAGACAGAGGTGATATGTAGGAGTTGGCCTGGATTGACAAACACAGCAGTCTTCAAATGGGATTTATGTCACATTTGCTGGGGCTAACCCAAAATTACTGTGCTTCTTCAGTTAGGAGCTCCCAACCCCTTTGTCAGAGATTCTGGCCAGACAACATGTATCTGAAGCCTTGGCTTGGGTCTGGTCATGGCTGGGTAGACGGCGTGGGTTGTGCTATTTCCGATGTGTGGTGCGCAGCCTGTTCGTTTGCCAGCATGTCCTTTGTTTTTGACGCTTCGCCGATGCAGACTTGCGCAGCCTACCAGCCTAGCAACACAACGTCTACTAACGCCGGCTCTTTTTGCAGGCTTCTGCGATCTCTGCGATCTTTTGGAGATCTTGAATAGATCTTGTGCCTCTTTCCACATGAAGGCTCTATGCAAAGAATAAAGTATATATTGTCGCCACCCTCGCCTAACAAAATCACGTTGCTTCTAGTCAAGTTCAGAACTGCTTCTCTAGGTTGGCCCCTAAAACCTATTGAAAAATATTAGTATATATGGTCCCCTATCAAAGCCATTAGGGAAAATACTAAATATCCCAGGGGCCTACCCAGTTCTTGCTCCATAAACTCTATAGAAACCGGAAGTAAAAGCCCCACTTGCCTGAACCCATGCCCAGAGGGTCCGGGGACTTAGCAAGTATACGGATAAACCCTAATACTAAATGTACTAACTATTCTGCACCTATAGGTGTCCCTCCCCGAGCCGCAGGCGCTACTTGTGTCGGGGCCTCAGCACAAGAGCAATGCCCCTCCACCTTGTACCAATTTGCCCACATGTTAGCCACGCGCATTGACCCCAAAAAAGTCTCCCAAAAGGTCCTACTTGAGGGGGCGTAACCAGCACAGCAGAACCTAAGCCAGTGCTACTACCTGTGCGCACATGCAGCTAGCAAGCACGCGCGCGTTTCAACATGGGTACATGCATATGTGTATTTGCATCCATACGTACCCCTCTTTGGATGGTGGTCAAAGTTCGGGTCCTGCTTGCGTTTCTAAAGTCTAGGTTGTCAATTTTCCCAGAGACCGGGGCCAAAGCTTGTACAAACTCCTACATGCGCACAACTTAGCTCTCAAACCTGTACCCCAGACCATGAAGCGCATGCATTAGGTGGACCCCTGTTGACCATATAACCCCTTCAAGGGCAGAGTGACCCTAAAATCTTTACGCAATGAAATCACGAAATCACAGTCCTGAGCCCAAAACGCTTTGGCATACATAGAAAATATGTGTATGTACACATGTATATAGGTACATATGCATGTATGTAATGTATGCACGCATGTATGCATGCATGCATGCGTGAGTGTATGTGTGTATGTATGCATGCATGCATGCATGCATGCATGCATGTATGTATGTATGTATGTATGTATGTATGTATGTATGTATGTACGTATGTACGTATGTACGTATGTACGTA